TTTCTTTACCTTCATAGCGAACGCTCCATGATCACCGAATAGTCGGCTCCGGTATCCACGAAAGCTGTCACACTGTGGCCGTCGACGAGAACGCTGAGGTTGAGAGTTCGTCGTCTCACGTTGCACTTAGGTCGTGGCGGTGGGTCACGGCTTCGTCGGCTTGTTCCGCTGCTTCCATCTTGTGTCGTTAGATCGTCATCAGTAGATGGGGTTTCATCGTCAGGGCTTTGCTTGGTTCGCGTGGTGTTCGGAGAGTACCGTCGCGGCGACGTTGCCATAAGGTTTTTCGTAGTTCGTCACACAGCAACCATACCTCCAGCGGTTGCTGCCATTAGTTTACCGGATAAGCGCAGTAAGACCAGCCCCGCGTTGGGCCAGTGTACGGCCGGTGGTGAAGCGGCATATAGCGGCTCGGTGACGGCAAATGGGAAGTTTCTCCAGGTGTCCACTGTGCTGCTGCGACGAAGTCAGCGATGTCACGGGGTCTTCCTCCCCCCCCCCCGCTGTGGACGCGGCGCGTACGGCTAAACTACGCAGTCCATTCTGACGGTACTGGCAGCGGTGGTAGGTGTGACTCGCTCTGGATTTCGCACCAACCGGTTGTGCCCCCGCGATCTCCGATAACAGCGCAGATCTGGCCGACTGGCTCGTGCTACGCCATCTCCAGACGCCGACAAAAGCTCTCGCTGAGTGGTGCGCCATCCTCGGACTCCTGCGACCGTGTCTATCTTTCTTTCTGCGACCGTGTCTATCTTCTGCTTGCTTCTTGGTGTCGCTGCTTCTGCGCCACGCTCTCTTCTTCCCTCTTTCTCTAACTATACATTTGATTCTATTTTTAAATCGTTCCTTAACCTCATCTCTAGTGAGCTATTGTTGAGGTGTCGCGCTGTGACGCAGACACTGACGGGGCCCACTTTATCTTCTTTTCTTTTTTAAGAATCCCAAAAAAGTAGTAGGTGTGGCCTGCTTCTCCGCAAATGTAGCATAGAGGTCGGTAGTTGGGGGTACGCCACTCGTCGGTTGTCCTCTGAGCGTTGCACTGGCTGGTGGGTGAGCGGTATGCCATCGATAGTGGTGGTGGCTGGCGGCGGAACTGCGATGGTGTGGCTTCTTGACGTGGGTGTCGAGGGGGAGCGTAGCGTCGGGTTGCAGGAACGTAACATCGCTTGCGGCTTAGGCTGCGGAGCTTCGGAAACTCCAAGCGATTGTCGAACTCTTTCGCGGACAGTGTCGGCAATCCAATCCACTTGGGGCTGCGACGAAGGCAACAAGCTTCTTAGCTGCTCTCGCACGATCTGTTGAATAGTCTCACGCTGGTTTTTCGTGCTGAGGGCATGGACTTCTGCGTAGTTGGCAGTTAAAGAGTGACGGTCATACTGGCTTGTGCGCATCTCAAGTGCCTTATCTATTGTCGTGGCCTCGGTGAGAAATTCGTCAACAGTCTTGGGTGGGTTGCAAACAGGTTACACAAACAACTCTTGTTTCACACCCCACATAAGGAAGCGGAGCTTCTTGTTCTCAGCCACGGCATGATCGGCGTGCCGAAACAGTTTCATATTTTCTTCCGTGAAGATGACATTTTCGTTTGGCAGTTGCACCTGGGTCTCCGGCAAAACTGTGGTCCTTTCTGTGCGGGCGACGCTCGTGACAGTTTTCAGGCATGTGCCGCAAAAAAAAAAATCCCAGGAGTGAAGTGCAGACTTCCAATTCTCAATCTAGGTCGTCGCCGCGTCTTCCCGACAGAAGTAGACGCGGCGCAGCATTTCTTCTGGGTGCCACTGGTTCAAGGCTGCTACTCGGTCGAACGTCTCGAGCCAGGTCTCTGGTTCTTGAAATGAAGATCCGTGGATGATGTGTGGCTCTTTTGGCCGCTGCATTACGACCATGGCAGGCGTTGGTACAGTGGCTGTCAGCTGATGCAGTAGTGGTGGTGTCTTTCGGTTTACGACTGTTATCCGGTAGAGCCCGTACTCCCGAGGTAGCCCTTGTTGCCGGTAGCTTGCTTGCAGGTCCAGGTTGGCGGATATGTTTGGTTTATGGTTATGGCTTGGCTATCGATCGAAGAGAGAAGTTCCGTACATGGACAGGAAGCACCTCGACCAGATGTCATGGGGTGGTGACGTGGATGAAGGGAGAAAACTTCAGGTTGAATAATAAACTGTTTATTGAGGCCGAACTTGTGGCCACGTGAAAGGAGAATTAGATTACTGCGAGACACTGGCACTGGTAGCGGCGAGGAGAACGTCGGCTGTAGATCAACTGACAAGCGGTAAAGCGTGTGGGAATTCTTACTATTGCCATCAAATGATCTAGCGTTATCACTAGCGGTGACCTAGGTTCGCGAGTAATCTGGATTGCTCATGATGTGGGCATAATCTTGACTAAAGAATCCACTACAGCCTTTAAGCCCTTCGAAAATGATAGGCGTGGTTTGCGCTGAACGTAGTGTAACGGGGGGACAACACTTGAGGAAAGCAACGTGGCAATATCATAGTTGCAATCAAGAGGAAGAAATGAACATGGCAACGTAGCACGTAACCAGGGTAACTGTTCATCATTACGTATAGCTGACTAGATTCCCAGAGAAGACAAACGCATGAAGCGGAGACACGACGTTGGGTGGGCCGATGAGATTAAAAAGTTCGCTGGTATAACGTGGCAGCGGAAAGCCCACCACCACATTGATAAACGGATCATCATAGGCTTTTGCCCTGCAGCGGGCGTAGTCAGGCTGATGATGATGAAAGATATACGTTTATGAACGTTCATAAATGTTTACGCATTGGAGCTAAAACTTTTCAAAAGCTGACATATCGGTAACATGGTAAACGCAGTCCGGTATTCCAGTAACATAATGTATACGAACAAGTAGAACTCGTTAAGTGCAAGATAGTTGAGATTGGTACGCATAAATTCTTCTCTATACCGCATCGTTTGTCGACAGAAGAAAGAGCACTTCTTTAGCCCTTATTGAATATGTAGTGTAAAATCCGCGTTGCGTGGAGCACTACAATATATATGTTTTGCGAATTCTTGTCAGCGCCGACTACTGCTCGGCAGCATTTTCTAAGAATGCTGAAAAAGTGTTGCAATACCCCTTGAAAGGTGCCATTCTATATCAGCGCAATTTAGGCAAACCATGTTTTCGGCTCCTCTTATGAGTAAAAAAGAGGGAGATGTGGCGAATCTTTAAATTTTATTTGCTAGATTTCTTGCTTCAGCGCTGAGCTTCGGAACATAAAATTTGATCAAAACAGTTCCCCTGCTGACGGCGCCTGTTCAAGCAAAATATGAATCATCTGGGTACAGATTTGGCCAGCGAAAAACTGTGAGCACAAGGTGAGGACGAAGTCTTCCATAGTCTGTTGGCGGAGTATATGCGTCGTTGCAGTGTAAATAGGACGACAATAAGACAAAAGACACTCCCAAAGACAGTCGGCAGAACCACGGCCAGACTCGACTCCTTCTCCGGCGCTCCCCTTAAGGAGCATGCAGAAGGAGGGTCAAGTCCGGCCGTGGCAGAACAAATCGGCGTTGTTTCGCACTAGTGTAGACGCACCTTTAGCGGTGCACTGCTGTGGCGATTCTGTCAATCAGGCTAGGTTTCCTTCCTACCCGGGAGTGCCATTCAGTTCATGATTCGAATCGAGTCTATGCAATTATCTGTAGCATGCACAAAATTTCGCAAAGCTTCGCTGTTGCAGGGGAATGGAGCTTAAATATAACAGTTCATGCCACGGCAATTGATTGAGTGGCGAGCACTTAGCACTTTCACATATTGGGAATGTATTTTGGCCTAAAATTCTTTGCCTATCTGATCATGACTACATCTGTAGAAAGCCGTGAGTCTGCACATTCTATTTGTTGCTATGATAACAAACTGGCTGACCCTTCTCCAGGCACCACCTTGAATCCCAGAGAGCGCCACCAAAAGCTTGTGGGCATTGGAAATATAGCGGCATGCGTGTAGGACAAAGTCATGGCAGGGTCACAGCTACTGCATTAACACAATCACAATAGTTCGATGCACTTCATAGCGCTTGCCAGAACGCAATAAAGTGCAACGTAGCCGCTTACTGGCTGTATATTTCTAGTAAAACTGATTCTTACGTTGCGTGGGATCTGCCCGCTTTTTCTGTGTGTCGATTCTATTCATCCTGTCTTCGAAAGCTTTCTGAACCTCCCGGGGTTTTGCAGTGACTCCGGAATAGGCACACATTTGACAAAGAGAATACATCGTGTTTTTACGTGAACAAATGACATCCCACGACATCGTAGTGGTGTAATTGCTACTACAACTTCTACGGCCTGCGGAATCAAGACGCCAGTGGTGACGTTATATGATTGTTAATAACTTTTGCATAAGTATTGCGCCTACCGTCACCTGTTTATTTGATAAGTCGCTTATTAACTCTGGCTTAACAAGCGCTATTTCTCGGAGCCGGATGCAGACGACGCGAGACGGTGTGATTTTTTTTTGTCTGGATGTTCTCCAGCTGTTCAGCTAGAGAGCATCTACATATACAACTGTCGCGATGTCCAGCTATTCGGATACCGGAATCTTTTTGTGAAGATGTGCTTTCTTGTTGACAAGGCAGCACAATGCGCAACTGCGTATAAATCAAGGCAGTACGCCCTACTTTGTATAATTTACCTTTTACACTTTACCTGCTGATCACGTGGCCAGATCACGTTTTTGACAGGGAGAACGCGACGTTTTATAATAGTTCTTGGTTTCACGTGATGCAACAACTTTACTAATGGAGGTTATTCCCTAGTGCCATGCAATCGCGCCTCTTTACTAATTAATGTTGAATTTATTCAGCGTTCAAGAATTCTACTGTCAAATTTTTTACTTATTGTCATGCAGTTCTCTGTGGTACTACAAAACTTTGCAACTCGAAAATAAAAAATTAAGACAAATCAAGGCGCTTTACACACACATTATAAAAAAACATATTCAATATATTGAGCGTTCTCTACTCTCCTTACTTTCTTACCTGCACGAAGTGTCGTAGATTTTGATACGATGTTCCAATAGGATAATGTGCCAGCACGACAGGTAATCTCGTCTAAAACAAACATCAAAGTACAATTTTAGGGACGAAGTACAACTGCAGGTTTGGCAACATAAGACTTATTCACGTTGTGTTAGAGGATGAAAACACTTTGCTGAAATACCTTTCTGGGGCTCACTCATGTGGGGGCTGGATTGAACCGGTAACTACACAGTGGTGAGGATACGGTCGAAGCGTGTAATAATCTTGAATCTATTCATAGCCAAATGACCTGCTTCATGCTTCTTAATTGTAACTCATAAGTCACCACACGTCAAGCAAGTAGTAGACCCCTCCTTGACCTATCTGTACAGACAAGAAATAAGATAGATACAACAAATGGGATGGAGCGTCACAGCTTCGAAAAGCCAGCCTAGTGTAATATCGCTCTTTCCCGCTTTCTACAACCGAGGCATCGGTGCCTCGTCAATTGGATCGCACACCCACCGCTTAAACGACCGAATCAAGCCCACCAATAACAGCGCTTGACTATTACATGGCTATAGGGCCTATTTATTTAAGCGAAATAGTAAACTGAGTGGGTTAGTTGAAGTTTATTTTGATGGCACAGAGTTGCTTGTAGTATGAACGTTAGAGGTGGTGTCATTAAGAAACCACGAAAAAGCAATTCTCGCACTTGCATGACTACCATTGCATGAACGCGTACAGAATTTCTACGTACGCTTACTGCATACATCCGCCTCGTATTGCCACACTGCTTTTGAAGTGCCACAAGCAAACTTCTTGATACGTGCTTAGCATATTGTTTGCTCTAGTGGTAGGTGGGATCTGGCAAACCGTTTAAAGACATTTACGGAATATTCAAAAGCCAAACAGCTTGAGTGATAATTGTTGCGGTGGCTCACAACGCTTGTGCATGTACAGTGCAATAAGAAAGAATTTCAACCCCAATCGAAAAGTACGTGAATATTCGCAAACCAGACGTTTCGGAACCGACTTGGTTCCTCCTTTAGGGGGGACTGTGGTTACGTTGCAGCGGCGTTTGCAAAGCAATCGCGGGGCTGTTAAAGACCCCCCCCCCCTTTCTTCCCTTTTTTCGCGGAGCGTAGTCCGTGTGCATACAGCGGGGGAAGGGTTCTGATAGAACAGTTAATGTTCTGGTTGTTCGCTGTATATGGCACGACTCAACTAGTAGCCTTCTCCTGCAGTTAGTCTCGCTTTTAAGGATGGTCGTTGCGTCTAAGTCTATCTGGTGCTCAATGAAACGCTCGGCAAAAAGCTGCGCTCTTTGTTGAGCTTTCGGACGTCGTGGTGGTGTTGTTTGAGTTGTTCCGGTATGTTTTTCGTCTCGCCGATATACGAATATGGGCAGTCGGCGCACGGGACTTTGTAAACGACACTGAGGGTTCCGTCCGTTGTTGGCCAGTCTTTCGGGCGGGGGAGGGGGCGGCCTAGCGTACATAAATACACGTGCGCGATACGTACCTCTTCTTTTTTGAAGACCCAGTCTAACAACTTGCTGGTGTCTTGAACGTATGGGACCAGTATGCCTTTTTGAGGGCTGCCAATAAAGGCTAATTAGTGTTTCCATATCCTCTGTTGCTCTGCGTGGCGGGTGACGGCTCGTGTGAAGTTTTTTGTGCACCTGTTTTTTCTGAGGTCGGCAAAAACGGGAGCCTTTTGCTTCTTGCGCTGCATGTCATTGGAGCAAATGTTCTTGGCTCTCTGGAGTAACGTGCTTACAAATAAGGCCTTGTGGCAGGCGGGATGGGAATAATCATATTGAAAGCAGCGGCCGGTGTACTTTTTGGTTTGAGTTGAAATTGTTTCCCGGTTTACCTACCAAACCATAAAGACATCTGTCGAATGCATACATTCATATACAGTGCGATGCTGCTACATAACCTGGTAGGCTCTAGAAGGAGGTCTATAGAAGGAAACTTCACCTACATTGGTCGTGCTTCCTCAAGAAGGGCGAGCTTTTTATCTGCTAATGAAATGACATTTGATTACTTAGGCTTTTCGAGAGCTCCTGGTTACGTCAGGTGGTTGGTCATATTTCTCGACAATAACTAGACTGTCGAGCACGTTCCGCTATCTTTGGGTTTACTTTACGCACAAGTTTCTCTCCACACAAAATTAAGGCGCTTTCTCTTTCTCTGGCTCCATTTTCGCAATATTGTATCTAAAAACAGCAAGCCTTACTTTGCATCATAATAAAATTGGTTGTTATACACTCACTTCTTCACCATAGCAGTTAAGCTTATTTTTTTTATAAAACCCTATAAGGCCCTCTCTCTCTCATTTCGACATTTGCACGAAGGCCACTGATGTGATCGAACAACATTTCACTGGTACCGCCCTAAGATCGGTGATTGTGCCAACCACCCCGTCTCCCTGTCTGGTGAGCTGCCTATTTTCTTATTTAATGGGCGAATGAAAATATTTATAACATTTCTGAATACCAAAATAAACGACGACAAGAAATATTGTGCGGCAGCTGCTGTTGTTTTACTCACGATCTCGCTAATTTTTGTTAGCTTAGAGAGAATTTGTAGCACGTTCAGACTGAGTATCTGCGACCAATCTGAAAATGTTGTGATTCATGTGCTTTTGAGCAGTAGAAGAATTTTTGAAGCTCCGGGTTGGTATGTTTCCTTTGTCGCTCACCTTCATAGTAAAGGCTGTTTAAGCCAGAACAACTGCTAATGCATAAAATTTATTCCGACTTTAAAATCACCTGTGCCGAGCATGTATATCTCACTGTCTTCAAAGACGCCTAATCGATTTTCAATTGGTTATTTATTTCCTATTCCCGTTTAGGTTTTAAATGAAGGTACATTTGATTATGAACTTACTACATCTGCCATTGAAAAAAACGTCCTAAGAAAAAAAAAGCTGCAATACCTTGTTCATCTGCTCAGGACTGCTTAAAAGCGTAATTGACAATAAGAGGCTGCAAGGTTGTCCTTGAAGAACGCCGCATACGAGCTTTGTCAGCTGCCTTGAAGCTTCCGGTAGGTTGAAATAACCACTGTCTTTCAGAGGATCCAGAAGCAGCTGTATAAAAGAAAGTGAAGCGACGGATTGAGATATCACGGTTGGCGAACGGTTTCTCGTTCTGCCGGCATTCGAGGGAACATGTTGGTAATGAAGCTAATACATTCATTGCATTGCTGAAAAGAAATGACCGCATAGCAATCAAACAAGGCCTAACTACTAAAACCAGTCTGAATGTTTACAAGACATCAATGCAAGCCAACTTTCTTCGTAATAGAAAGATTAGTACATCTTTTAGTTCACTTTTTATGTGAATACGCTCATATAACTAAACACTTTTATCAACTTTTAAACTGTTGCGGAAATTCTTTGCTACGCACATTCACAGAAGGCACAAAAGCATTAGGTTGAAACATCTATGTCTCAGCAGAAACAACCATTTGACGAAACTGAATCTGTTCCATAGTTGTCATGGGCATTGTGATACCCTATATCGAGAGTAACAGTGGTGATGCTGCATTAAATAGACGTTTTTTGAACGCTGTCACAGGTGTCATTCTGTTAAGTCATCAGAGAATTCACCAGGTTGTGTTTGCTTGAACACTGCTTAAGGCAACTTGACAATAGCGCAGAGGCACTCCATAAACTGCGATGTGGTTTACACAATCATCTAATTTTACGAACGAAGCTCCTTGGTGTGTAGGCAGCTTCCTTATAGTATGTTTTAGCCACTCCTGTTTAGTAGAAAAATTGCTCACTAGATTGCGTTGTGTGTATATATCCTTGCGAGCGTTATCAATGAATGGCATTAGTGCTCTCCTTATAGTGGACGATTGAAGAGGATAGATGGAGCTGTTATAATAAGAAATTCAGAGTATATTCATGGAGGGAATGATGATAAGCTGGGAGAAGCGCCCATCCGTCTGTATGATGCGTGCTCTAGTGTGATAGGAGCAGACGGATGGGGGGTCAGACAGACGGACAGACAGGCAGGTGGACGGACGGGCTAGCGGATGGACGGATGGAGAGACAAATAGACATACGCACGCTTCGCCCCACTCCCTATTCTTCACTTCGTGGATATGCTGTTAATTTTTTTGTTTCACTCGTGCGTAATTGAGTGATCGCCGATGCCACCAACTAACCATAGGTAACATCTGTGTGCTTAAACAAAATTATGGTCACACGTTATTTGTTTTATTACCTGAAAGTTTTCAGCTCATCGGCTACCCCCAAATTCTGCAGCGTGTGGTCGATTGTTTCATCCCAATCACAAACTCTGCAAAAATAGAAGCCGCTATGCATGCATTGCGCAACAAGTTATAGTTATATGTATATTCACACATCTGGCACATTAAGTTTACCATGACGCCCAGAAACCTTTCTTCAGGTCTCAGGAAATGCACACAATTTCAGACGGCCGCATGAAATAAAGACATATATGACTACAGGTTAAGAATGGCAGTGGTGGTTAGCCAACTCCTCTTGTGACGCCTTGTATGTATGTATATATATATATATATATATATATATATATATATATATATATATATATATATATATATCAGGGCAGTTAGTACCAGTCACGGGCTCAGCTCTTCATCGTAGTAGTCTTCTAGCTGCTCCGACTACATACTGTCTCTCTCTCTCGTCCCCACTACACTTGTCCCGGTAGTGAAGAGGAGCCATCCTGGTGACTCACAGCGGAGCGAGCACGAGGGAATCATAGTAAGCATTTTAAGCGGCTGATGACGACTGCCTCACGAACACGGCATCGTCTGCCATCGACAGGTGTCACTGGTTTGACGACGTAGTTGACCGGTGATGAGCATTGACGGTACGGACCACTGTACTTGGGTGCAAAGCAAAGGACAAAGATGCCGGGGGACTAGACTGGAACCGAAAGCCATACAACTGAACCTTCGACGAAGCTGCGAGCAGGCGTGTCTTAGTCAAGCCGTTCTTTTTGGAGACCTTATGCGAAGGGCGTAAATGAGCTTGCTGATTGGCGGCTTCCTTCGGCGCACTGAGCAAGTTCGGAGGCTGGGCGGTATTCTGAAGCATCTGGGTGGTAAGTGCGTATCGTGTCAAGCGTAGAACAGAGATCATGTCCGTACAGTAGAAAAAAGGTAAAAACCGAGTAGTTCCTTGAGTAGCCGTACTATACGCATGCGTCACAAAAGGGAGCACCAAGTCCCACTATAATGATCGTAGGGTATGTACATAGCGAGCATATCACCAAACGTGCGGGTGAACGACTTCGTCAAACCGTTTGTCTGCGGGCGCTAGCTCGTAGTGGTGCAATGAATAATATTGCACTTACTGAGAAGCTCCTGGACAACTCGCGATAGAAACGCACGCCCATGGTCGCCAAGCAGCTCGCGTGGAGCACCATGGCGAAAAACAAAGCTCCGCAAGATGAACAAGGCAACATCACGAGCAACAGCAGCTGGCAAAGCGGCAGTTTCAGCGTAACGGGTGAAGTGGTCAACGGCCACAAACATCCAGTGATTTTCAGCAAGAGTACAAGGTAGTGTGCCGTTGAGGTCGATGTCAATTCTATCAAACCGTCGAACTGGACACGGCAATGGTTGTAATTCGCAAGAGGCATGACAAGTTGTTTTCTGTCGCTGACACTCAGTGCAGGAACGTATGTACTTGCGAACGTTCGAGTACATGCCACACCAGAAGAATCGCTGGCGAAGCCGGACATATGTTTTAAACATGCCAGCGTGGGCATATTGAGGGTTTACGTTGAAGTACGCGCATATGTTGGAGCGCAAATGGCGACATAAAACAAGAAGTCGTTTCCCACCAGCCAGCTTATAGTTGTGACAGTACAACATGGCAGCCCCTAACGCATAATGAGGAACTTGTGTATTTATTATGTGTTGTCGAATGTGAGGGTTGATTTGGGCGCGGTTATTTGCTAACCTCCCTGCCCTTCCTCTTTTAATCCTCCTCCTCCTCCTTGACGACTTAGTGCACGAGGTAGACGCTGGCGTCGTGTCAACGAAGAAGAGGAGGAACGTCGATGAACAGGGCTATCCAAGGGCCCTTGCACTGTTCCGAAGGCATGCCAACGGTATATATGCTGTCAATGGTAGCTTCGGTAAAGGAAACAGGTGAATGGCTGAAGAAAGTGGCGAACGAGAAAGAGTGTCTGCGTCGGTGTGCTTGCGGCCTGAGCGATAAATCACGTGCATATCAAATTCTTGTAAACGTCGCACCCAGCGTCCAAGCCGTCCCGAAGTATCGTTCTGTAAAGCGAACCAACAGAGTGAATGATGGTCAATAACGACAACAAACAGGTGTCCGTATAAGTAAGGACAAAATATTTGTAATGTCCAAAAATGCCTAAACATTACTTTTCAGAAACCGAGTATTTGTACTCTGCCTTGGTTAGGGCGTGACTGGCATACGCAACTACATACTCCGAGAAGCCAGGCTTGCGCTGAGCAATGACAGCACCAAGTCCTATGCCACTGGCGTCCTTGTGCACATTGGTTGAAGAGGCGAAAATTGGTGGTGAAGTAAAGAGAAGGCGTAATGTTGCGAAAGCATCATTGCTTGCTGGTGACCAATCAGAGCGGTGTTCATCACCAGTGATCAGCTGTGTCAGTGCTGCGATTATCGAAGCAACGTTCTGCCCAAAGCAGCTTAAATAAAGAATTGAGACAGTCAGAACTGTTATTTCAGACGAGGTAGGAGCGTTGGCCTAGCCAGCGAAAGCAGCGACAATGTCCGGAGCGAGCGTCTCGAGCTTAGCACTGACGATGTGTTTTTCGAGCTATGCATGACCCACTACTTCTTCATTACATATTTTCCCCTCGCTGAATACGGAGCCAAGTAGGTGTCCTAAGGTGTCGTAAGGACAAATGGTTCGTGACACGGTTTGAGGCGATCCACGTGTACGATTTCGCGGCCTCGGCGACGCAGGTCCGGAGTGGGCATGAGGGGTTCGATGAGGTAGTTGACAGCGGAAGTTCGCTGTATGACGCGATAAGGCCCGTGGTACCTGCTGACGAACTTTGTAGACGTACGTGGAGCAGCAGTGGGAGGCACCCACAGCCAAACAAGAGAGTTTGGTGAAAACTGGTAGTGGGACCGTCTATCGTCGTGACAAAATTTCTGTAGTCCTTGTTCTTGTGTTGTAAGGGTGCGAGCTAATTGCCGACATTCTTCCGCATACCGAGTGGCTTCGGAAACTGGTGTGCCTTTGGATGAGTCGGGTCGGTAGGGGAGAATCGTGTCGATTGGAGATGGTGGCTCTCGACCATAGAGTAAAAAGAAGGGAGAAAAGCCGGTCGTCGCTTGAGGCGCCGTGTTGTAAGCGTACGTTACGTAGGGAAGGATAAGATTCCAGTTGGTGTGGTTGGAGGCGACATACATAGAAAGCATGTCGCTAAGAGTGCGGTTGAAACGTTCGGTCAAGCCGTTCGTTTGTAAACGATATGCGGTAGTACAGCGGTGAACTACATGGCATTCTGCAAAAAGTTCATGAATTACATTCGCGAAAAAGACGCGGCATCCGTCGCCCAAAAGTTAATGCGGAGCACCGTGACGCAGAAAAAAATGTTGGAGCAGGAAAGACGCAACGTCACGTGCCGTCGTGGCTGGTAGAGCGGCCGTTTCTGCATATCTCGTGAGATAGTCGATCGCTACAATAATCCAGCGATTCCAAGCTCATGTATATGGCAGAGAAGCATAAAGGTCTGTTCCAACCCGGTCGAATGGTCGCACTGGGCACGGTAACGGCTACATTGGTGCAGTAGAACGGCTAGGATCGTGCTTGCGGCATTGGCACTCTGTGCAAGGTCGAATGTACTTTTGAACGAATGTGTACATGCCACGCAAATAAAACCGAAAACGTAGCCTGGCGTCAATTTTAAACAAACCGGCATGTGCACACTGCGGATCAGCATAAAAAGCACCACATATGATGGCACGGAGATGCCTGGGTATGACGAGTAGCCATTTGCGGCCGTCAGGGTGGTAGTTGCGGCGATAAAGCATTCCATCACGGATGGCGAGGTGGGAGGCTTGTCGGTGTAGCGCTC